TGTCCATTGCCTCTCCTAGGTGAGTATGTTGTCTGTTTGGCTGGAGAATCCCTGCAGACAAACACGCAGCAATAGCTGCCACCTCCTTGCACATGACTGGCTCTCTCTGACACCTCTCAGCCACCAGAGCCATCAGGACAGGAGGCGCAAACTTACTCCTGGTCTCTGCGTTCTCACAGCGATGTTCTCCCTCCTGTAGCCCTTGGTTCTATAAAGCAAAGTACTGGCATGAGGGAGGGGGTTCAATTACTGCTAAATGCAGAGCACGGGTGCATTTGTGCTGCTCCCCTGCCCCCGAGTGCCCGGCGCTCCCCTCGCTGCGGTCTTTCCTGCAGTGAGTCCTCGCCAAAGGTGTTCTGGGGTTGCAGACATGGGGGCACGGCAGCCTGGCCTGCAAAGCTGTCAGTTCTATAGGAGGCAGTGGCAGAGCTGCCAAGAGGGAGCTGCTTGCTGACCTGTCCCACCAACACAGCCAGCTCCTCAGTGAGGCAGGTGGCCACAAGGCACCATCTGCTCAGCTGAGTTGGGGGATGGATCCCAGCATTCTCTTAGAATTGACTCCAGCACAGCGTAGATGTTGCAGGAGCTGAAAATCCCCAAGCTGTAACTTTTTGAGCTTAGGTGAATGCTATCTTCTCTAGTCCTCCCTAAGAAACCCCTGTCCAGCCGCCTTGCAGAGATGGGCAGCTGTGGGCATGGCTGCTGTAGTAAAGCTGCAGGCATCTCCCATAGCTTTGATCCTCCCACCAGCAATGGTGGTGTGGGAGAAACATGAGCCTTCTGGGTCTTCCTCTTCCTCAGAGATGGGAATCTTGCTGCGAGTGCACAGATCATCTCCCCGGGTAATTTAATATGCCAGGGGCAAGGGAAAGTGCAAAAACTGTGCTTATTACCCTTGTAAAAGGACAAAGTGCTCTGGACCAGACAAGGCTACTCCCAGGAGGGGAAAGGTGCCGGGAGACAAGGCTTTGCATGCGGAAAGCAAACAGGGACAGGGCTATACAGCACGGAGGGGTTTCTCTGCACATACGTTGAGCCACACACGTATTCTGATGGATGATTATGGGAAAAGACCGGGAAGAGGGTAAGGTCTCCAGGGCTTGGAGGAAGGACCAGTACGGGAACATGGCGGCGCCCCACAGCGGGCCCCCCCCACGGCGGGGAACTACAACTCCCAGGCTCCCCCGCGGCGCCTCTCTGCACATGCGCGGCGGTGGCGGCTGGCTTCACCCTGCGCGCACTCCGTTTCCCGGCAGGCTGCGCGCTG